ACATCTGTGACAGCTTGAAGTCTTTTGTGGTAGTTGTGGATAAAGTTCTTTATGCTCTCTGGTGGTAAAGCTGCTGATTCTTCTTGGCAAAAAGCATCTAGTTACTGTAAATTTATGGGGCAGAATTTCATGTACTGCACATTTAACCTCTCCACAGATCAACACAATAAGTATAGCTTTACTGTCCCCATAAGAAAATGTGTCCCAATGCCGCTAGTGCCTCTGCCTGGAGAAGGGGTTGCTGTAGTACAGAGCTGGAGAATTTTACCGATTGTACATGATTTTGTGGTAGGGCAAACCTGAGCCCCTATAGGAAACCTACACAGACACAGAGAGAACATGCAAACTCCATTCGGTAAAGGCACTGTTTTAACTAGGATTCAAACCCTTATCATTGAGGATATCCAAAAGCGAAAAGTGTATTTATTACCAAGGGGTGTAAACTTCCACAGCGGTTGTTCCCTTTAGTCAGTTCTGCAGTGCGCTACAACACGATAAAGTGCTGCATTCACTGAACAATATGGTTACTGTTTTTTTCCTCACAATGATCAGTTGTTTCTGGCTGTGACATCCACGCCGTCTTATTTCCACCTAAAACTGCGACTCTTGACACAACACGAGTATTCCGTATGCGTTTTGTATTGCCCTTGCCTCCCGGAGAGCTGTCACTTATAGCGGCAAACAAAGCCCGGAACCCTTGGAGACCCTGCCATTATGAGGTCTGTCACAAGTGCGGGGGTGTGGAGATGGGAGTAACCGCCCCCCCCCGCGTCGTAAACAACAAATCAATAGCTCATTTGTCATTTTGCTTTGGAAGGAAACAAGTTTTTTGGTGGGAGAGATCCACTTTTCCAATCCAAATGAACCGATCAATCTCTGCTCTCTCCTGGGGCCTTCCCGGCAGCTGAGTGGGCTGAAGGAAGCCGAGGAAAAGCGCCCTGTCTACGTTTTGCCACTCATTTCTTATCTGCTCCGGAGCCTCGTCTCTCTTCCCCCTCGTGCTAATACTCCCCACGCTGCGAAGGAATTGCACGCGTCTGTCTGTCTCCGCATTTGTCTCTCTTTCTCACCAATTCTTTTCTGTACACCACCCACATAGCTTTTTCCCATGGTGCATTTGTAAACGAGAGAGGATATGGCAGAGAATGGTTGCTACTGTTGGCCGCAAAAGCTAGTTTGTTGTTTAAGAGGGGCTAGAAGGTTCCTGCCACAGTCTGCTGATGCTGAACGGGACTGGCAGGTGGATTATACCTTGTGCCGCTTCGTCCCTGGACAAATTTAAAGGCAGCCCAGCTACCACTAGGGAAAAACCTCCACTACATGAGAAGTATGCTCCAGCTTTTACTGTCTCGCCATTTGTAGGTCGCACAACTTTTTATTGTAACTTTAAGCTCTGGTCCCTTACATGGAGTCTCCCTCTTGCATTGTCCTCACACCATCCTTCAACCAGTGCTATATTTGGTCTAAAAGTTGTAGGCAGCTTTAAGGTGAACTGCACAACTACTGTAACGCGTTCCGCTACCTGCTTGTTGCTGTTGATCTATATAGTTTTTCATATACATCCCTCTGTTGTTCATAATTTGATTGAAGATATTTTAAAGGTAAATAAAAACTAAAACTACACCGGTGTGGCTCTCCTCTATGCAAAAAAAAAAAACATCTGCAAGCGAAGTGAGCTTTGAGTTGAGTTAAGTGTTTATTTATCTCCAGTTCAATGTACATCAAACATTAATTATCAGAAATCGCTACTTGCAAATCATCCATTAACTATTACCTTTTGCAATATTGCACATCATTCAAACTCAAAAAGGAGTGGTAGAAAGAAAAAATTGTATAAATTCCCACCCCTGTGAACATCACACTTAGACCCGTGTGTCCGGAGCCGGTAGCAAAGTAATGTGCAACAACAAGGCAACAAGTTGAGTGACACGCGCCTCTCCTTTGCAGAGGCCTGACGGCTGTATACACACCGACAGAGACATGGCCACTGCTGCTGCCCCTCTGTAGTCCATGGATAAGTGTAGAGGACAGAGCAGACCAAAGAACAGATGTAGAGTAGCAAAATCCAAATATATGTGTGTCCTCATGGGCTGGTGTGTTCAGACGCGATAATTTATGAGTGAAAAAAACAAAAAACATGTCCAGAATCACTGTCGAACCTACCAGCTCTCATCCTAATGTTAAATACAAGTGCTGTGGATACAAGAAAACATTCTCAAGGCACTATGGAACATTCCAGGCAAAACCATGGCAACCCGGGGAAAAAGTAGACCCTCCACCGGACAAATTGTGCCTTTAAGTCATACATTTGAAAAAAGTCCATTCTCAACAACATTATGAAATACTGTTGAAATGCAATGAAAAAGGAGTTGTTTTTTTCTAAACTGTGGGCTTTTTTCCCTTTACAAGCCTTCCATATTTTGCCTATGTGTCTTGTTCTTCACATAAAAGCATGTAGAGGATGTGAGAAGACCGGAACACTCTCTGGTCTCGTTAGAATAAGTATACTCCAATCCAAGTACAATAGCCCATCATTACACTGCTGTAATGGGCTTTTGCTTTTCACTCAGAATCTGAAACATTCTGAGTTAGCATTATGACATTATGAGTTCTGAATGAAGACTGAACGTCCTTTTTTATGTATTGTGCATTTAAGCTAAGATTTATATGTGACTTTATCTTCTACCGGAACATCCATTTTGATTATTTAGTGACATTTAAATCATTAATACCGCTGAGACATACTTTTAGTGTTAAGTGTGATTCACAGGAGAGCAAAGATAAAGAGCCACTTTCGTCTGAATCACGGTAATTAGAGGCTTTTAAGTGGCGCATAAGAACACTTGAGGACAGTGTCTTGCCATACTTTGCAAAGAGAGACATACAGGCAGGGAATCAGGGAAATTCAATGCATGTATACGGTAAAAAGGGGTAAATATATAATTATTTTTGACTTAAGGCTGTAATGAGGTTTGTACTTATTTTGATAATGATTAGTTGGCCGATTATAATTTTGATTCATCGGTTATAGTTGTTTAGATCCCAAAAAGTAAATATGGAAATTTTATACATTTGACTAAAAAAAACTAAAACTATTTGTTACACATTCAATTCAATCATCTTTATTTACAAAACTTCATAGTCATACAAGTCAGACACAAATAATCATCCAAGTTGTATAGGTAGGGCCCCAAAAACAATACATTTAAACAAATATCTTTATACAATCATGTGGCGGTTTGAGTAAGAAATGTTTAAAGACACTTTCATGTAGTTCTGCATTCATTATATAATCATAAACCTCTTCTCTGGAATGTTTAAGTCTATCTAAGGTTAAAAAAACAACTACTGAATTTGTCTCTATCTTTGAGATTTTTCCAGCACTTTGAGTTGCCTTGTGTATGAATTGTGTTATACAAATAAACTAGCCTTGGTTAATTTAGTTTGACCATACAAGCCTAACGCTCAATAGTTTATTTTACCTCTTTTTCTAGGGTCAATAATGTGGGAAAACTTGATTAATTACGAACTTGTCACAACCCTAATTTGAGTATTTACAGTAAATCTACAGGGAGTTGGATGGTCCTCTGTGTTAGGCTGTAATAATAATAATGATGATGATGATGATGATGCTGATTTTGACGATGTGCATAATTCCATGATTTTATTTTAAATACAAAGATAGAAGCATGTATATCTCTGGCAGATGCATTGTTGTTGGTAGAAAATGTATGATTATTATTAGTCTGGATCCGCACAGGCTCAGTCAGGGTTGAACCACAGAACCACTTTGAGAATGCTATCACATGTACCCTCCACAAACAACAGCAGCAGCAGCAAAACGCAGCTCCGCAGGCTATTCTCAGGCCAAAAGACTGATGTGGCTGGCTGGACGAGAGATTTAGTATTTCTCTTTTCACTGCTGTCAAAAATATTTTAGAACTTTTCCATCTTCTGCTTGTGGTTTCACAGTTGCTTCTGGTTTTCAGAATTATCTGTTCACGTTTTCATGACAAAAATAAAGTTTTAATGCACAAAAAAAAGCGATCGCGGTAAACCCGGATGTAGCTATTAACATGAATTGCACGTTATAGGACACATCTGCAGAGGATCTGATTATGGATATAGGTTCAGTTTATAAATGGGTAACTCAGCGCGGATGTTCAGAATTCTTTGTTCAGTTTTCATGTAGTTCCAGAGCCTAATGGAGGCTTGATTCGGAGGCTCCGAGAAAACAAACAACTGAGCATGCGAGCATGCGAGCATCAGCGCGATGATTGACAGCCCTTGGCATCACATGATTGGTTAAAGTGGATGGCATCATGATTTTGAGCCATAGCTAAGAGAAGGGAAGGCGGGGCTTACCCGTAACATTAGAATTCATAACATAACTTATCTTATATCAAGCTTTAAGGCTAGGAGGTCAATTTAATACAATTCTTAAAATTTGTAATTCATTTAGAGTTCCAGACTATCACTTTAATAGCTCATTACAGTCAATTTGGCAAATGTCGCTTAAATTAAAAACACTGCAGAGTTGTTGAATTAAATCATTGTAAAAAACAAAATATTCTTGCAAAACAAAAACACAAAAAATCCCCAAATTATCTCTAGAAATGTGTCACATACAAGAGAAAGGACTGCAGAAGGACTCTCTGCTCTCTCTCTTGTGCGCGCTGTTCTCTCGTGTTATGTCGCTGTGGTCTCAGTCACATAGCGTACCACTCCGACACTACAGGGATCTGTCCTTCCTCACATATACTAACCCTGCGCAGCACAAAACCTAGCTTTAAATACATGACAACTTATCACCGAGGAAAATCCATCACACCCAGGCATCTGTGTAACCATCAGCTTTTGTCCTGAGTGCAGCCAGCGTCATGCTACCATTAGACCTTTTGTCCTGCCCTGCCCGCTGCCCTTACTCTTGCTTCGTCTGTATTATATAAAGGAAGTGAAAAGTCAAATCCTCCCCTCTCCTGCTTTATCAGGAACAGCGGATGCGGGCACACTGGTGGCGTGCTCCCCTGAGTGCAAGGAAACTACAGATTGACTTTGTCCTGCCTCCAGAGATGATGCGTCCCACTGGAGTTACACGTTTTTATCCATTTTCCTTCCTGAAAATATACACACGCTTTTTTTCTACTCACACACACCAAGGGCAATGTACTGCGAGTGTAGTGTCAAACTAAAACTAGAGAAAAAAAGTCCTTTTTCTTTCAGACAGGATATATTTCTTTCTTGGTTATAAACATGAATAGAAGACTCCAGTCCTTTTCTTTTTCTTTTTTTTTCTTCTTTGTACCATCACTCACAATTATCTTTTGTCAGGTAAACCAAAGGACACAACTTCTTACTTTAGTTGGCTTCAAATATGTCATATATTTTTTTCAGGCCGGGACTTTAACGCGTTAATTAAGATGAATTAATGACACAAAAATTAGCACATTAAAAAAATTGACGCATTTTAATCGTATGTGTTTTTGCACTGCGGAACCTTCCTCACTGGATGAGTTTCAGACGGACCGATTGTACTGGAGCACCAACTGAGCTCCTTGACGTTTTTGTTATAAAGTACATTATTACAAGCATAGACCAACTTTAGCTGTGTCTAAATCCCAGTGAGTTAGAGACGGGAAAGAGCGCCGTGTGTGGAGCGATGGACTCTGTGTGTGAGGAGGAGGAGCAGCGAGCTACTCTTGTGAGCGAAGGCGGAGGAGGCGGAGGAGGAGGAGGGGGCGGCGGAGGAGGAGGAGGAGGGGAGGCGGAGGCGGAGGAGGAGGAGGAGGGAGGAGGAGGAGGAGGAGGAGGAGGAGGAGGAGGAGGAGGCGGAGGAGGGAGGAGGCGGAGGAGGAGGAGGAGGGGAGGAGGAGGAGGCGGAGGCGGAGGAGGAGGCGGAGGAGGCGGAGGAGGAGGAGGAGGAGGCGGAGGAGGCGGAGGAGGAGGAGGAGGCGGCGGAGGAGGCAGAGGAGGAGGAGGCGGAGGAGGAGGAGGAGGAGGAGGAGGCGGGGGGAGGAGGAGGCGGGGAGGAGGAGCGAGACACAGGTGTGTAAGCTGCTATTGCTGAATGTATACATCAAAAACGTATTATAAAAGCTTTAGCAAACAGCGCGTGCCCAGCTTTAGTGCTCACTGCGAGTGCAGAGGATTTTGGGCTTAAAAAGCGTCTGTTGTTGTCAGAGAGTGTGGAGGCGATGACAGACACGTTACTGGATGGGAACGAAGTCCTTCTGATCCTCTTATCATCCACAATTAACATGTGTTGCTTAAGCTTATGTATTCAGTCATTATTCAATGGTAAACTACAAATCCATGTGAAAAAAATTACTTCTCACTGTTCTCACGTCAAATATTTATATGCAAATAAAATGTAATTTATTGCAATTAATTAATTACAAAGCCTCTAATTAATTAGATTTTTAAAAATGTAATCGAGTCCCAGCCTTATTTTTTTTGTATTATTGTCAAATTATATATTTTTTTCTCAACTAAATCCGAGATGATTTTACACCTGTTGTCCTTGCCCTGTGTTTGATCCACTACACCCGAAATGACAAAAAATAAAAATAAAATACAGTTTCAAAACAAACACTGTTTAAAATATATGGGTTAAAGCTTGTTTTTATTTTCTCACTGTCTGTAATTAAAGGTCTGACTTTGAAGGAACACTTCTAAGTAATTATCTTTCTTAACGTAGTAGGGCTGAGAACAACTTAGAAAAGATTTAGGTGAAAATAACTGACCTAAAAACACTGTAATTAATTCATTGTTAAGCCTGTTTCCTGATGTTTACATTTTGTTTCCACTGTTTGCAGCTGAATAGACTTTGCTGCACAGATCACATTTCCTTTAGTCCCCAGTGACCTTGATTCTTCCTCTTCAACATGGCCGACTTGTTTATTAATTGCAGACTCTATCGTTATGCAAATGAGTGTGTTTATATTAATGACTGTTATTAGTGCTGATGATGAGAGGGTGGACCATTAGCTCTGTCCTACACAGCAGGGTTCACCTAATGATACTATTAAGAATTTTTTTTTTGTTACAAGTATATTTTTTACCTCAAACTCATTGGGCAGCTGAAGAAAATATTAAGATGCAATAGTAATTTATCAAGTTATTATCTGTAAAATATAAAAGTGAATGTTATCCTTCCTATTTGCCCGTGTTACTGAAGTAATTGAGTACTTAAGAACGCATGCTTCTTCTAAACCCTGTAATAATGTAACTTAATTCTCAGCAGAAAACTACATTCAAATCAAAATGCTTTTTGTTCGTTAGTTGTCTGTTTGTTAGTTAGCAATATAACTCAAACAACAAACTTATTTACAAAATCTTCATCAAAAGTTGAACATGGTAAATTGAGTTATTTTTTCTAGTATTATCAATGCATTTATGAAGTGCTTAGATTGGAATCTTAGAACAAACCCAAATTAACTAGAGTTTGACTTGGAGGAAATCCTAACATTCACAGGTTAACTTGTTAGCTACACACAGAAATCTGCTACACTATTATGTAACAGCAGACACTGGGGATATTGATCTGTGATATTATTGCCAAGAGTTCAGTGGACTTTAAGCTGCTTCACTCACTCCAACCAAAACCCTATTCACAATTGAGTTTCTTTTAGAGCAGCAAATTAGAATGCATGAGGCATCTTTGACTACTATTGGTGGAGAGAATAAGAGAAGCAACGGATGATTCAATGAAGAGGACATTAATTGTAACCTTGGCATATTTGTTCAGCTAATAGCCAGAACAAAGCACTTCTGGCCTTGATTGTAGAGGCGCTGGGAATTACTGAGTGTGTGGAAGAAATCACTTACTGTGTTGGAACAAAGCTTAATCCCAATAAAAAGCTTGCACATTACTGCTTTTATTACCATTAGGGGCATAGTCTATAATTTGGAGAAATTTCACATTTTTTTGAAAGACAGTCATTTATCCAAGTATTGCATAACTTGACCAAAATCTACTTCATTACTACTGCAATTATCATTCATTCTTAAATGATGTGGATAAATTACATTCATATTTCTAATGCTAAGAGCTACATTGAAGCCATTATGAACCCACTCCATACTCTATGGTGACTGAAGCCATCAACCTGTTCAGACCACCATCAGAGGAAGCCAACTCAAACATGGAGAGAAACATGCAAACTCCACACTGAAAAGAGCACAGGATCAAACTAACATAAATCTTTCTGTGAGGAGTCAGTACTACCTCAGCTAAGCAACAAAAGATAAAACCTTAATCTATTGCCTGAAGACATGACTTGTCAGATGGGCTATTTATTTTGCACAATGTCTTGGTCTGTCTTAGCCTTTGAGGTGCAGTATCAGCCTAAGTTCTTTACACACAGTCTTGTTTCCATGGAGAGCACACCTCTGGCCCTGTTCGGACCACGGACCATTTGGGGAAGTGATTTTGGGTTTCCTGCCAGCAATCCACACGCAGCCCTGAGATTGTAACTCAGGCCTCTATCTATCAACACGGACATGACCTCTGCTCTTGCGGATGGCTGCAGCTGCCTTGCATTACAACACAGTTTATCCACCTCCCGGCCAGTATGGGAAAGGTACAACTCTGGCTTTCACTTTGGGTTTGTCTTTGAGAATCTGGGAATTTTTTTCTTTTTCTATTTCAAACAATCGGCATGTTTCAAGTCAATTAATAAGTCTTTATATCTTTATATTTGTCTATGTTTGCACCATGAGCCAAAGCAAATTAGTATTTAATGACTCCCCGTTAAGCTGCTCTTCTCCAAAAATAAGCTATTGTCTTTTTTCCTGGAACACTCCAAAAGATGGAAATAGGTTGTATTAATGAGTTATGCTATTACAATTGCATGGGAAAAAGGCTATTTTCTAAATCAATGTTGAAAAGGTCCAAATGTTTTCCCAGAACATCATAGTGATTAGATTCACAAAGCTGCCATATTCTTACGTCTGAACGTCCTTTTTCATGGCCAACTTTATACATTTGATTTGAATAAGAACTATAGGCTCATCTTGATTGACAAGCATGAGTGGACTGAGATACATCAAATATATTATTCCCACGTATTTTGTTTTTCATTCTATCAAACTGTGTGAACCACAACCCCAGTGACGCAGTGGTGTTTTACTTAGACATCAGCCAGCCTTTAAATATCTTAATAAAAACATTGCGAGTTCACTTCATCATTGAGACATGAAAGGAGCTGATGACAGTAAACAAATACCTGGCAAATTTAAGGGAAAGGTAGTATTTTAGCAAATATAGACTTTGAAGTAATTATAGCACCATAAATCTCCATAATTAAACTGCAACAAACAAAACGCTTCATTACCCAAATAACCTTGATTATACAAAATAACTATTCACGACGCACTGATCCAGTAAAGACAAGAAAAATGGGCATTAAGATGTATTCGTAGTTTTATGAATCATACTTTTTAAGCAACTGTTGGGGAAACAAGATGCATTTCTGGTTTCATTTAGCATGATTTGCAAGCTTTCTCTTGGCACACATAACATTGTATTGGAACATTGTAATTCTCCCTATTGTCTGAGATCAGGTTAAAACATTTGAATCACTTAAATCTCAATCTTTCTTTTCATTACTTAGAGAGAGAAACAAATTAAAACACTGAAAAACACGCACTATATGAACACACAATCTATTCTGTACTTTTCTCTTCCATAATCACCATGCTACGGTTTTATGTTTTCAAAGGAACACTATCTCTAAAGCTTCGCCAGTCATTTTAAGTCCCTTCTGTTAAAAGTGCCACAAAGTGTATGGCATGTCCCTGAATAGCCTCGGAGCTCTCTGGCTGAGCTCCAGGGCTGTATTTTCAAAGAGGCACCAGGAGATGTCTAATCCTAAACTCTAACTTCCCCAGTTCATCACATGGATCAAATGCACACTGAGTGGATTACAAGACCCATAATGTAAAAGCAGGAGAACCAAACTTCTAACTATCCAATCTGATTAGAAAATATGATCTACATTCTGAGGGGATCATCAAAACATTACCTTGATGGGCATTGGTCATTCTGCTACCCTACAAAAAACAATATATTTGTTAAATTATTATATTTTCTGTTTTATTATCTATGTTGTTAGTGAATTAGCAATTGTGTGAAGTCCTCCAAGTGAATTTTTGTGCGACTGGTTAGTTTCACCCTACTGATGATGTGTTGTAGTAATAGTAATAAAGACAAAATGAACCTTTTTGAATGAATTAGGGCTATCCATAAATACCTTAAATTCAATTGGCTGCAGTGAGGGTGGTTCTCTATTTTTCACTTTTGTGTCTGAAAAAGCTGATCCAAAGAGTCTAAAAATACATGAGTGTGGAAACTAGTGATAAAAGCAAACTGTTCTGAGAGTTAATCACATGAATTGTACGGTTTATGGTGGTTTCAAAGCTATAGGTACAAAATCACAATCCTCAATTATTTGTTTTTTATTCGGCCAAGACTTAAACAACCGATGAGCAGATATCTAAGCAGTTAGTGCTAAATTATTCCGACGTTGACTTAAGATTTTTTTGTCTTGTTCAATACTAATGAATAGACTTGAATTTTAATACCGCATTGATTTTGAGATGCACTTTTTGAGTCAGGTTCAACATTTAAAGTAGTGGAGGCAGGAGCTGCAGGTATCCGAGCTAATTAGAAGCAGTCATGAACAAAAAAGGGTTCAAACATCCAAAAAGAAGAAAATGTTCAGGCACTCACTTCATTGGAATATACTACCTTTATTAGATGCATTAAAATGATCTAAAACAATTCCTAGGAAGGGTTAGGGTTATGTAAAAATATAACCTAAAAGTTTCAATACTTGTTTTAGAATCACTATGAATATTTGATTTTCAATTATTTTGACAACATTAATGTCTTTATCACAACATATGTTTTTAAGATTAGATAAGATAGACTTTATTGATCACACAATGGAGAAATGTACACGTCACATTTGGCATAAAAAGGATCACTCCGGGTGTGCAAAAGGCAGGAAATGTGCAAACAGGGAATGTTTCAAAAGTGAAGATGACCATG